CTCTTTCACTGTATTTATGTAACGTGATTTACCCCCATAGATGGTGATGCAATACTATTCCTGTCACAGCTACACCTTGCAGCACTTTGCATGTATTTGCTGCAGCTCCTGCATGATCTTCCCTTACAATATTAGCCACATAAAAGTCGGTGTGGCTTTGAAATAACCATCAGAACAAGAATCCATCCAGCGGAGGAATGTTTGAGGTTTATTATAACAGTCTCTCCTTTGTTGAAAATTTAACCTGCCCAAAAAGATGTGGTCCCTGAGTTCCTGAACAACTACCCTAAAATTTGCCTGAAAAAAACCCACCACTAGTATCTGTATTAGCACATACGTTTACATAATCCATAATGTAGATGTCTACCTCAATGCAGTGTAAAGCCACATAAAATTGTGGTCCAGATTCTGCCATGCTGTCTTATGTTGTGCACCCCTTACTACAGTGCTGCCCCACATGATTAACAGGTCTCTTTACAAACAAGTTACACTAAGCAAGGGAAGCAGACTCTAGCCCTGCAGTTTTGGAACAATTACCCCACAATTCCAGCTGGCAATACTGAATCTTGGTAAAACAGAGCTTGAGTTACCAGGGAATTCAGTATAATATGTGGAAATTTTTTTAAGCAGGCATAAAGATCAACTTACTGGCTCTCCCATTGGTCCCCTGTCTCCTGTGGTTCCAGGAGGCCCAAGTAAACCCTGGAAGATTAAAATAAAATAAAAAAATCACTGGAAACAAGCTGTTTCATATTCTGTGAAAAGCCACTTCCTCTCTTACTTCTGCTCACTCACCTTGTTCAGAAATACCCAAGAAATATGTGCAGCCTTTCTTTCTGGTTGATGTGCACTGCCGTATCACTAGCTTCCATAGCAGGTAAGGGACCCCTGAATAAATCCTTCCTTGGTTTCTTTTACATAAGGATGGATCCTAGCTGACCCACCACTTACTGGTTCCTCATCATTCTCCTTAGACTCATGTGCTGCTTGTATGCAAAAGCTGGGCCTAACCACAATGAGTGTCCTGCCCTACAAACTGTATTTGAGATGATCAGTAAGGTTCACAGCCCACTTTTCTTTCTGCTCAACATGGCTCATAGCATGTCTGTCTCAGTATATACTTTCTTCTAGAAACTGTAGCTGTAGGAGTAGTAGAGCAGTATCTTGTACTTTGCAATGTACTAATTCCCATCATTTCAACCGAATGAGGTTTTGCTTCATTCATTTATACATATATAAATACACCTAAAAGTCCTAATGTAGGAGGAACAAATGAAAACCCATCACGTCATGGGTAAGAGGCAACAAGTTCCCAAATCTGAGAAGAGGCAAGAGAGGTACAGTGACAACCAACAGTTTGAGTCTCAATTTTAGCACAAAATCACCACTACGGCTTTGTTTCTGCTTTTCTGCTTGCTTGCTTCCTTACTGAAAATCCAATACAATTTGGACTGACTGGTAATCTTTAAAAAGAAAAGCCTCAAATACAATATGCTAGATTTCCATTGAATGAAGCCGTAAAAGCAAGAATTTTCTCCTATGCATGTGATATACATTTTACACATTGTTCTATAGTTACCCCAACATGGATAGTACACAACTATTCTAAAAAATCTATCAAAGAATTATTTTTCTGTCACAACGACTTTTCTTCCTTAAAATCACAATAAAACTAAAAAGACCAAAGCAATTTCTAGGACCCCCCTACTAACTACAATTGTCATTTCTGCTGCAATTTGCTATCATATTGTATTCTGTAGAATATCATCCATGAAAACACTGGTCTTGTAGCAGACTAGACCACGTTCACATTTACTCTCACTTCTGCTCCTGATTGTTTGTACAAATAAACGCAAACCCTACTGTCGAAGTTTTCCAGCTGCTCTGAAGTAGATAAATTCCCTCATATCTGAGTGTGAAACAAAGTATGAGATTTTGTGGGGGGTTTTTTTGTGAAGTACTAGAGAATTTCATACTCACAAGTGCACCCTGATCTCCTCTTTCTCCTGGATTTCCAGCTTTACCCTGGTCAAAGAGAAATATTGAAAGACAATGCTGGCTTCAGATAATTTCCAAACCCAGCTAAGAAAATAGCAGTAACTCTATTAAGGGTTACTACAAACCTTGGCTCCAATACTTACAATGAGCCCAGGAACTCCTTTCTTTCCCGGATCTCCTCTTTCTCCCTAATAAATAACCAACAATGTGTGAATTCTATGTGCATTTGCTAGATAAGCTGCATACAGTTGCTGTCAGTTTAAATGCTGGGTAACTCCACAGAAAGTGCAGATTAAGGCTTAGATGGGTTTATACCATTATAAGGAAGTACCTGAAGGAGGCAGAAATTTGCAAATCTCCTCCTGGATTAAATGGAAATTTAGGACTTCTGACACGCTGGGCTGTTCTTTTGTTTGTTTGTTGTTTTTTCTTATCTGTTGTGGTCTATCTAAACGTTTTGCATTGTACTGAGCAATGCAAGCACTCACCTTAATGCCTTGTGTTCCTGGTTCTCCTAGAGGACCGTCTAGACCTCTTGGCCCCTGAATATTGAACAAGTGATTTGGAATATTAATTATGCATTTTTTTTATTACCATCAAGGAGATGCAACATACGCTTTATGAGAGGGGAAACATGTTTCATTAGCATGAAAACCAATTTTCATTGTATGTTAAGTGTGAAATAAAGCTTCAAAGAATAAGATACATTTCTGGTTTGCTGAAATATGAATTTAAGAAGAAAGACTTTTCTGAAAAATTTGTAAACAAAATGTTCAGGGTCTCTCTTGGACTCGGCTTGCTGATATTTTCTGCTGTCTTTTCCATCCACTTTGTATGCATGCAACAGACACATTTAGAAGCATTTAGATGAGCACTGACTATACAGAGTGCTTGCTTTTGAGCATAAATTGCATATGCAAAAATCCAGCTTGCTAGTAAGACTCTAAAACAGGCAGATAAAGTTCTTCCACTGGTCAACCAATTTGAGGTGAGATGAAAAGCAATTTATAATCTTGTATAGTGAACTGCTCTACTGTTAGACTAAGATATCTCTTGTAAATTGACTTTTTATAACCAACAGATGAACAAAGACAACCTATTATTGTATTATGACACAGCAAATATTTATTGCCAAAATATTCAGAAATTTTTATTTAAGATTGGAAACCTAAATCCATTAGTTTACAAGCAAATGAAAAATCCTTAAAATAGATCATGAGCAAAACGGAAAATACTATTTTATCCATGCTGAGGTAGGAGGTTATTTCATAATTCTGAACACCTTGACTGTTTGGGTATGGAAATAAAATTAAGACCAGTTGTTAACAACCTAAAGCCAATGATCACTTTAAAGAAAGAGCTAGATAAGTATCAAGACAGAGCCAGGCTCTTTACAGCAGCGTGCAGTGGGAGGATGAGACACAACAGCTTTCCTGATGGCATCTGGGCTGGGCTGGCACCAGAAGGACCTGCACACTGCTATGGCAGTGCCTAGAGGAAAATGATCTGCATTTTCGGAGTGCATTTCTGAGTTGTAGAGAACCTTACATGGTGGGTCATGGTGTATAGTGCCTGGCATGCAACCATGACTGACTTCCAGAGAGTTGTAATACTGTTCTAAGTAACAATAGGAGCCTGTAAAATTACTTTGATGGAAGTACATCTGATATTATTTAGATTACTTTCCCCTCAAAAATGTCTGTGATTTCCATGTCCCTCTTGAATGTTTTGAGACAAAACACAGCAGAATTCTGTTCTCTCTGACCTGGATTTACTGATGCACATCAAAACCTCTGTCAGAACAGAAGGTAAGCACCTACTCGCTTCTCTCTGAAGCTACAGTGAAAAATGTCTGACTGGTAACTCAGGAACACTGTGTATCCAGGATCACTTAGGCTTTCCTCCCGAAACAGAAATCTCTCAAGGAAAGGCCTTTCCTGTGAGCCAATATATAATTACAATCCCTGGCAGAGCCAGAAATATCCCATGAGAAGCTTACCTGTCAGCATTTCAGTACTGCTGCTTCTGGCCAGCACAGGGGAACACACAGAAACCATAGGAAAAGGAAAACGAACAGGCAGGTCTGAATACTTTTGATACCTTCGTAGTTTAGGACACAGCTTTTGCGAGGCAATCCTTGGGTTAGCCTAGCCACCTTTCTTGTTTTGGCCTAAGCCAGGACTGAGTATTTACAGGCATTTTTTTATGCTAGAGGAGAAAAGAGACTACAGGAGACAATGCTCTGGGTTGCTGCGCTATTCTCAGTGAGAAAGGTCCCAAACCAAAGGATACTGAAGTCTGTGGAAAAAACTCCTAGTGACTTCAATGCACTCAGACACCAGAACCAAAACAGTAATGGTGTTTTCAAGGGTCGAGGCCTTTATAAGAACAACAATTTAAGATTATGTAACTGTATAAGGCCAATTATTGAATTATTATGTAGCATAATTTAAAAGAAAGCTAAACATCTTCATCAAACTAATGTCAGGTTACTGACATCTATAATGCACACACAATGGGTTGTGACAAAAATTCAAGGCAAACTAAGCAGATTTAGAGTCCCGTGATCAGATATGCCTTTCAGGTGAAACATCTCAAAGAATGGGAGGAGAAGGGACAGGAGGAAACACTGAGATGGAGTGAGGACAGGTCATTAAGCTGGGGGGTAAAAGGGGAGAGAAGCTCACAGAAGAGCTGCAGAGGAATCACCTAGGGCAGCATAGGAAGGGGAAAATTGAGAGTGTTAAGCTGAGCAATTGCAGGATAGTTTTAGTGTTTCTCAGACTTTTGATACATAAACTGTCATTTGTCTCTGTGCACCCTCCACAGGGCTGATCAGGGGATAGAATCTCAAGATGAAATATTCAAGAAAAAAAAAGGACACACTTTGTTGTACAGATTTGTGTAATAAAGAAACTTCTTTCTAGGTTTTATGTCCTATCATTAATAACATTAACAGATAAATTCTTTTAACACTTGTGACTTCCTTTTAACCATAAAGGGGGTCATAGCTCATAGTTTGAGAAACAGTCCTGTCAGGAGACTGCACAGGATTCTCAGTCTGTGTTAAGTGCATTAACACACCAAAACCCTTCTGCCAGTCACACAGATCTCCACTTCAGAGTTCACATCAACAGCCTAATCGCTAGGAAGAGCATGACAACTGATTTGATTGCTAATAATCAAGCAGAAAGGCCTACCATTCAAAACACCAACCTTCTCCTATGTAATTTTGAATAGAAAAAAACCAAAACAGAAACCAACAGGATGCTCAGCTTCTGGCTCTGGGCCATGCCTGCCTTTAGCCAGCCACAGAACAGTATGCAGGAATCCAAGGGAAAGGCAATTTAATATTGTAACAAAAGCACACCATAACATTCCTATAAATAGTATGGTGTGAGTCATTATTGGCACAGATTAATTGGATCTGTATAATTTCCTACTATAGCTAGTACAGAATGAGATACACACATGATTTGCCTGCTGTTATTTAATTTAGGTTGCAACAGAGCTGAGGAGTAAAGCTGCCAAATGATTGCTGCTACTATTTTCTTTGGCGTAGATTCAGCTTTGTTTCTAAAATGGAACACACGACATTGAAAACTCTAGGATGATAAGCTGAGAAAAAGTTCATTAAGAAGGCAAGAAGCACCAGTTAACTCTTTTTTGTTCTTTCTCATCCTGCCTCCTAAATATAAGAGTGAAAATACCTTAAGCACATTATGTAGCTACTTTTTTGGTGGTTGCTCTTTTTTGGTGGTTGATACGGAAGAATACTAGAAAAAGTGACACCAATTTTAGTCTCACCTCCTTTGAAGAATTAAGACAGACAAACACACTCAGCTATTGATACATCACAAAGCACACTGGCCACTTGTTTCACATAACCCTGAAGCGCACACATTTTTCTAGGTTCCATATTTCTTGCTGTGAGACGTATGAAAGATACCACTCATTAAAACTCTACTGGTTGCTACAGACATGAGCTCCTGTTGCCTGACCCAAAATTTACAGCACTTAAGTAATTTATCTGCATTTTCAAAATTGAATTTCCTGAGCTGCATTCCAGGAAAGTAAGAGGGGAAAAAAATATTGCTTTTGTGCTTTAAAATACCAAACATCAGCCTGAAGAATACTAACTGGTAATAATCATAGCAGCTACTGAGAATTTTGCTTACATCTCACTCACAAAATGAATCTAACAATACAGGACCTCTTCCTCTCAAATTAAATGCAACAGTTATATTAGTTGGAGCTTATGGTATGAACTAAAGCAGAACCAGTCTCTGACATTGTAGTTTTCTTCTTCATACATTAGCAATCAAGAACAACAACAAAAATGCTACAATGGCTTCATGGCTGCCTACACTGCTACCAGCACGTCTTCCAGACCAATATATTTCTTCATTCTGGTCATGGAGAGAAATTCCTTCTCTTGGATACAGATATTCCCACTCCCCAGTGTCATTCTGCCATTGAAGTATCTACAAAGCAGTGTTCTTCCTCTGTGTTTTCATGAGATTAACGCTAAAAAATAGAATGAGATTAACACTAAAAAAATAAAACCTCCCACATGATTCCAGCTGAAGCACATCAAGTCTGGAGCACGAGCTGAGGAAGCTCTGTGCTAGCACTATGCTCAGTGGCATATCCCTCCAAATCCCCTGACAGTGAGATACTCCATTGACTCCTAGACAGCCTGCCTTCAGCTGGCCAGAACTCCTGCCTGTACCAGAGCCTGAGCAGCTGGATACTCTCAGGCAGAAGTAGGCTGCTGGGTAATCTTGGATGCAAACTGGTTGCTGAAAGGTCCAGAATTTATGAGATGAAGGAATTCCACTCTGTGACAGTGCAGAAGTAGAGGGTCAGTGCTCCTAAGACTTCCTGCAGATTCCAGCTGTGAAGACGGGATACGTTCTTGTTTCAGTACACAACAAAGGGGAATTTCCATATGCTGCTATTTAACTTCAGTATGTGACTGCAGTATGCGTTTTTCCGAGGGCTGCAAACAGAGTTGAGATTCTGACACTTCTCTTTCTGAATCAAATTCATCTGGTGGTGATGACAAACCCCAGGTTTCAGGCCTCCCCCAGATATTTTCCTTATTTGAGATTCAGCTTTGGGTCTGATATTTTGATCTTGAGAGCAGACAAAATTCTTAGGAGCTTCAGTGGGAGTTTGTTCGCAGAGCCCGAAGACCTGGGTCTGCTCCGAGATCCCCTTCCCTGAAGCATTCCCAGTCATGCTGGATGGAGGCAAAGGTATAAACCACAGCTCCAAACTGGGACTTCCACAGGGCTTGGGATGCTTGGGATTTATTTTGAGTGATCTTTAATTATAAGCAGTGTATTCCATGATGTGCTGCCAAAATCATAGAGACAGACTCCCTCAAAGATTCCTGTCTCAGTTGGCAGAAGATGTGACGCTCCTTAAATAAAAATTATCTTCTACCTTCAAAACAGAATCTAAAGTAAACTAAGTCGTTCCCCCGTAAAAACAATCACCAGGTAGCAGATGCTGCTGGGAGTGAGGAGAGCCTGCAGGGGAGGACTCAGGCTCATGTCAGTAGCTTGGCTCTGACTCCAGCCATGGTGATGCTGGCAGACGGGCTTGCCGGGGGGGAAGGATCAGAGGAGGAGTTGAGAGGGGAACACTATGTCCAGAGGAATTAAAATGTATAACCTGCAGCAATTCAGTACCAATCTCAGACATGACTATTTACACAAAATTACTTTTGAGCTAGCCTTCTAACTCACTGCATCCTATCGGCCATCAGTCAAACTCCAGTGGACCGATAGGACCCAAGGGATTTTCCTTTTTAGATGAAACTCAAACATCAGTATTTTACAGTGAAAATGAGTGCATATGCATACTCATCTGTTGCCACTGGCTTGTGTGTCCAAATCCAGCATAACACTTCAGCATTTGTTTCACTTTCAGACACGCTCCTACTGAAATCAGAGAGGTAAGGCACCTGTTTTACTGAGTCAGGTCACCGAAGAAGAAGTGGTGCCAAGCTGCTACTTCTTTTCAGCCTCACAATTGCTTTGCATTTCTGTTTTGATTTACATTTTCAAATCTGCCTGTGAAGCAAAAAGGCTGTTTTTCCCTCCATTCCACTAAACCAAAGCAGAGATTCGCACTCCTGGCAGAAGGCTGCCTCAGTTATTGACACAGGGCTCCCAGGAGCCCCTGGAGCCTCTCTCCACTGAACGCACTTGCACAAGCACCTTTGGAACGCTTCAGGAGCTACTTCTCCACTAGTTGATGCCTGGGGTTGGGCACTCCTGCTTACACCAATTCTTGGTGCTTATCAGTGGGGGTGGATTCTCTGCAGCTAATTAAGGTTTCTCTTTGAATTTTGTTAGATATGTTGCATAAACAAATATATCTGCATTTCAATTTTGCCTGACAAACAGATCTCAATAAATTCCTTTTTCTGGGCACTGATAGATTACATGTGTGACACATTTGGTTGTGAAAATAAGCAGGTAACCTGTAAGGTGTGGGAAGCATTTGCTATTTCTGCATGTGAAATTACCAAAGTAATACTGAATATTTCTTATTGTATACGATTTTGTGGTTTGTTTTTTAACAGATAATTCATTATTAAATTAAAATGTCCATTATTAAATTAGCAAATTAATTCCCCAGAAAGAAATTTTTACTAATATATCTTTTAAAATAAGCTTTAAAAACCCCACATCTATTGTAAGGGAAAAATGAAGACTATTTTCAGATGACCACACAGATTCTTTCTGATGATGGTAGGTACGCTCTTTTCCATGAGCTGCTGAGATAACTTCCTTAATCCTGAAACACAGACTCAGACAAATCTCCTACTGATAGGTACTTCAGACAAGCACAAGAAGTTCTAAGCGTATGTAGATATATGCTCAAATCTGCTTCACCTATTTAAGGAAACTGAAGTCTGGGATAAATTATACTCCAATGTCTGAAACTAAACAAAACAAAAAAACCCCAAAACTTGGCATTGCCAGCTGGAAACCTCTCTAATACAGGGTAACCCAGAACCACTATTGCAGACTTTTAACAGAAATGATACATTTCATATGCTACATTTCACAAATTGTTCCTACAAACTGCACCATGAACAAAGAGGTAAATTAAAACACATTTCTTCTGAAGGAGGAAACCATACTATAGAAGGAAGATTCATTTGAAACAAAGTTTCTCTCTTGAATAATCCTGTAGTGTACTGTGAAGTTGCTAAGCATTGTATATTTTGAATATAGAGAAGATTCAAAATATTGTAAATTTCAAAATATTTCATATTTTAAAAGTAATGAACATACAAAATATGGTTTCAAATATACTATATTAATATTAAAATATACAACATATTCAGATAGACTATTTTGAATATACTGAAAATATAACTCTTTACCCAATCTCTTATTTAATAGTTTAGCAATCATGAAAAAGTGATGTAGAAGAATATATAGTTAATAGATTTTGTATTACAAAGTTTGCTAATCACAACATTTTCTAATCTAAAATCTTATTTAAAATGCAATGCATGCTTCTCAAGTATCTACACTTGCTCATGCTGCAACCGAACCCATCTATACTATGAACTGGAATTGCTTCCTGCAGGCACCATGAGCTCAGACTGCAAAAACATGACCAAAAACCCCTCCAAATCCAGGAAGTGCAAGCAACTGGTGGGGTTTATGAAGGAAAGTGTTTATGAAAACCACATAGCAAACTATCCCTAGGTAACAAACTGTAATACTTTCATTGATACTGATTATATGCATTGTGATCAAATACTCAAACAAATTGATATGGACAGACTCCTTTGCTTGCGTGGGCTTTGGATTAGTGCTTTGTATACAGTGAAAAAATGGTTCCCATTTGCCTGATAAAAATGCATGAAATGGAAATGACAGCCTAATCAGAGGTTTGAGATTCTAGCATACACTATCTTCTGACTTTGCTTCTTCCTCTCTCAGAGCTACATTTGGGTGATTTTGATTGTCTTTCTAAAGACATACATGACATGCAGATAAAGAAAATAGTCCTTAAAATATTGAAACAGTCCAATGGTAGTTATAAATGCCACCATTTGTGTATTTATGTATACAGAAGATAAGGCCAGCGGTCATTTTGGTTCTGGTCCTGGTCTCAGCTGAAATCAATGACAAAACCCCATTTAACTGTAATGTGAGGAAAAACAAAGATTCATACAGTTTCCTACATGGAAATACAAATATCGTCTGTCTGATTTCAGTACAAATGGCTTAGATTTGGAGGATAGAGTTCAAAGGAAGCAACTGGACATGGGTTACATGTCAGATTCATATTGGCAACGCACTGCTCTCTGCTCTAAGTTACATGAAACAGCAATATTACTTACTCTTCTTCCCTTAGGTCCCTGTGGCCCTGGTGGTCCTCTTGCCCCTGAAGGTCCCTACATGTCAAATAAACTTATTATTAATTGTCTTCTATACACAGATTACTGAAAATCACAAGGCTTATGCTCATTGAGTAATAATCAATGCAACCAATACAAACCAATCACTTTCGCTCATGGTTCAAATTCAAATAATTGTGTTAGTACAATTAATCTAGAAAAACCTAAATAAGAGACACTAAGTAACTTTATTCTGAATAAGAAATCATGATGTGACTGTTGGATGAATTACTTCTGTCCAACATCCCCAAATTGCTAAAGGATACTTGTATTTCAGCAACGTTATGTTAAAAAATCTAGTAAGTTCTGATGAAAGACTCAGGTTTTGTCTGTAATGAAGACCCATAGTAGCCAAGTCATAATGCAATTATACACAGCAAATTAGAATATAATTTATTTTTGATTAACAATGAAACTAAACACATCATTAATATATTTAAATTATATTAGGCATCAGTGAATTAAAAATAAAATTGCTGTGCAATTATAAACCATCCTTAAAAAATTCTGTTCCCCTACTTGTCTCAGAGTGATTTTTAAATGGATAAGTAAATTATATAATTAGTTTTCCTGTCTCTCATGGATCATCCTGGTAAAGAGCAGGTGAACAGACTTTGTGTCCAGATGTGTAAATTTTCATGACAGCTTTATAGACCGCAGTACAAATTAGAAACCATTCTTAGCTTCAGCAGAGCAAAAAGACAATTTGGAAATGCTAACTTTATGTCAAACCAAAGCACACTTTATACCTACAGGTGATCCTTCTGGCCCCACAGGTCCTGGGCCTCCTGGAGGTCCTGGGTAGCCCTAGAATTGAAATAAATATGGAAAAGATAAAACAGTTTTATTGAAATTGTTATTATAAAACCAATAATACATCCAGTTATTTACCTGAAAAATTGGAGATAAGTTAATAAAATGTTTAATCTTGTAAGATTTACTCCCAAAATTTTGTTTAGAACACAGGTATTTGTTTGGATATATCACAGTAATCATTAAAGCAACCGAAGATGTTTTTCCACACACAGCACTAGGTGATGACATGGATTTACTGAAACAAAAGCTGCTAAGTTCCAAATTAATTTCAAAATCCTCATGTTAAGGCTGTGACAGTGGGAACAGAAAGTGGCCACATCCTGGTGTGGGCAGGACTGACCAAGACAAAATGCATTCTCTATGCTTTCCGGAGCCATCATAGTGCTCGCTAGCAAACACACAACCAAACCCTAACCACTTCTTGAGAACTGCAACATGAATGTGACAATAGGTGCATGTGTATACCTTTTTATTTCTGTGCCCCAACAATCTACTTAACTTGACAGTGGCCTCTAGACTGTCTAATGCTGCGTGAAATGTTGCATCCCGATTTAGGACAAGTGGGGTTGTCAGGAAGCCAGTCCTCCCACCAGAGTGGCACGCAGGGGCTGCCTGGGTACTGCTGTGCAGTAGAATTAGAAGTGATGCTGGTTACCAGTTTGTCTAGTAGAATAACCTGTGTTAAACCAGTCTACATAGGAGATCATTCATTTACTTTTCCTCCTTTCAATTCGTTGTGTTTAATTTTTTTTTAATGTAAGTCTGCTTAGAGCCATTTTTTAAAAATGCAGTTGCTTTGCTGCTTCATTCAGCGAATCACTTTGTAATGTCACTTCCGTAGAGGGGATAAAGCTGCTAAAAGAAACTTCCTAGGAAGAACACATCATAAATACTACTATTTTCCACAAAGGTTGCACATTCAGAAGAATGAGAATTTATTACTGTTTTGGAAATTAAAGCACCTTCGTGAGTAACATAATTATGGATTCTACATTATTTGTGACTTACCACGACACCTTTCTCTCCAGGAGGACCTACTGGTCCTGGACTCCCTCGGTCTCCCTTTAACAAAAAATTAAAAAGAAAATAACAGTGAGTGCTCTTTCCCTGATTTGTTCCATCTCCCTCAAGCCAGGCATATCTGGCCAACAAGGCTAACCTGCAAAAACTACAGCAACCCAAGAGGTCTTTCATGAGGGTTGTAGCCCATAGTCTGCAAGAGACTTGGTTGCTAAAGGGAATAACTTTTTGCGGTGCATAACACCATTGGTTCAGGCACTGTCCTTCAGCAACAGTGCAGAGGCCGTTTTTCGCTTTTGTTGAATTTCTGCACTCCTTCCTCCTACAAACTCACCCACATTTTGAAAAGATGATAAAACTGAATTTCTGTCTTCCCTTTTCCTAGAAGGCTGAAGAAGAGATTTGGTACATCAGTCTTTGTGAACTGCAGCTAGCAGATCCCCTTTCTCTCTGTTAGGGGCAGCGCATTTATGGTTATGTTGTTCTTTAATCTATAAAATTCACCACAACAAACAAGCTGAAAAGAAAATTTTGCTCCCCTCTCCCTCATTTCTTCAGTATGTTTTAGGAAAGCAAAGATCTAAAAGCAAAACCAGTCCTTCAGCACACTTTCTCATGTTTTATTCATATAAAACATCCGGTCCAAACATCAGGCTTTGTTGTAGATTATCCCCATATAAATATTACCTTTTTATTACAGATAGTACATACAACATAGTGATAATGCTATATTTTTTGTTGCATACTGTTAAAGACACATTTCTTTAAAGTAATTACACTGGAAGCATGTTTGTCATTTAAGTCCACATAGCATGTTTACATTGTACTGTTTAACCCATAAAGGAGGAAGATAATAAATTCTACATAAATAGCACAGCAATAACAACAATTATTGCACCATGCAGAAGCTTGCTTTCATTTGCTGATAGATTAGTCTTTTACTGCCTTTTTCCTCCAAGCTAAACTAGCAGCAGTATCCCAAGGTAATCTTTGTTGGCCCAATTTTAAAGAATAAGAATCCTTTGACACTGAATTCTAAGACAATATTATGATTAAAATCATACGAGAGTTGTCTAAATTTTAGTTTTAACAAGCAGTACTTTCCATGGACGTATTTCCTTTCATAGATTATATAAATTATAATCAGATTTGCATGGAAGTTCTAATACATTATTAAGACTTTCTCAATAAAATATCTAAATAGCAGCCACCAGTCTAGGTGAAATAATTCAGCCCTGCAGGGAAGAAATATAAGTGGTGCTGAATCATTCTGACAAACAATTATGTGTTTATTATAATTGAAGCTGACATGCAGTCCAGTAATAGTTTCCTGTTTTTCAGTTTTAAAATACTTCACCTAAATAAAATCATGTCAAATATGTTTAAGCTATTTATACTGTTCTAGTCACATTAAGTTTGCCAAGCTTTGCTTTCATAAACACAACTGTTACTGCACAGCAGACAAAACTAACAACGTTGTCGTCTTTATTCAGTAAACGCATACAGCCAAATTTCTACTTTTGTCTCTTCGGTATGTAGCAGTGTATAACCAGTGACTACTGTATAAACCAAGCGCAATTTATCCCACTTTCTGTGAATTGATAGCAGTGGATAGTAAAGGAAGTGCCATAATATCAGCAAGATATCAAATCTATCAGCTCTAAATTCATTGCCAAGTGAAATCAAGGATACCAGGTACATACCTCAAATAACAGCATTTGGGTTACCGTTTATTACATCCCTGTGCTCTGAAATAGCTACATGAATATTAGCATTGTCAGTAGTCTGTAAACAATCTCTCACTGATATTTTATCACCCCAATGGTTTTCAAAGCTGATTTTTGCTGCTGAGTAGTCAGATACGTTATTATACCTTTTCACCAAGGCTTCCAGATGGCCCAGTTTCTCCAGGTAAGCCAGCTGATCCCTGTAGAAAAAGCAAGCAGACTTTTATTAGTACAATGTCCATACTAGTCCACAGTTGGCAGCTCCCCAGCGACCCAGCAGCAGAGCATGGCACATTTCTTCATCCCGGAGAACCACTGGTCTATTTGTGTAAGTGCTCGTCTGGGGAAGTGCAGACTGCACAAGGTAACCTGGTTTACAATCTCTGCAGGAGGATCACTGCATCTAGATACACCAATAGTAAATGGTGACTGCGGGAAAAGAAATTACATTAATTTAATTATCATACTGTGCCACCACCTAAGGTCTGCCACTGAGCTCCGTCTTACAGTGCTAGAAGCTTTACAAACATACAATTAAAGGTGATAATTGCACTCCGCTAGTGCTTCAGTCTGACCACAAATTTCAAGGGGAGTAAGTTCAGTGGAACAAAGTAAACGCCAGTCAAAACAAAAATTATATCGGATCAGGTGGTGTCAGAATTTTCTCTTTAAGTGTTGTAGCCCCAAATGCCTTTGAAGTCAGGAGATCAGAGCCTTTCAGTCCTTTTAAAAATGAAATAACTCTCTCCTGAGGCTCTCCCACAAATTTCCACTGGACAGAACAAGTACCACCATATGGAATAGGAAACATGAGAGGAAATACTTTAAGAAAGCTTATTCCCGAGTGCTTGCAATATGCTCTTTATTATCAAATGAAAAGGAAAAAATAATTATAGTGCAAGGCCCCAGTTGAGAAAAGTACAAAACGGTGAGCTTGAAGAAAAAACAATAGATGACCAGAGTACATCGCATGACTGCTCATGAAAGATGGCAGAAATATGGAAGCTCCTAGTAGTGACATAATACACAACTGTACTGTGTCTGTAACACTTTAAAAAGCAAAAATTATTTGCCCTTTAAAAGGTGCAAATAAATGGAAATTCATACATTGGCATTACTATCTCTACACAAGTAGGAATGTACTAACTTAAGCAGCACTACACTGGCACTTAAGTGAGATTTTTTTAAAAAAAAGCATTATTTCTGAGCTCACTAGACAGCTTGTATTCCTTTCAAGAGCTTAGTAATAGTTTATTCTATAGAAATAGTATCATAGCAGAAAGACAACATTCCAGTCTGAGATCTCTGCTTTCAGGAAAAAAACCCAAACCAAAAAAAAATCCACCTTTTTTTTTAGCTTTTACCTGTATAATTTCAATAGAGTTCAGCCTCAAGTACTCTAACGTAACAGGTGCAAAGTAACTAAGGCTTTATGATGGCTTCTTATTTTCTTGGACTGCTAGCTCCTCTAGAAATCTCACAGTTTAAATATATTGCAATAAGCCATTGATACAGCTGCCTTTGAGGCTGACAATACTGGCACAAACTACTTTCTGGAAGGGGCTAAAGAGATAGACAGGAATCTCTTTGGCTGCTGGACCAGTGTGTTATGCGTGAGAACTTGTGTATTATATGTCAGAACTGAGATGTCTCTTGGCAGCAGCCAAAGATTTGTCCTGGTGATACTGGCACTAAGGTGATGTGCAGACGTCACTGGCAGGAATGAGGAACTTCCATGACGAACTCTGAGAACGAAAGCTACCACTGCTACCAGTCATGGCCAACTGTGGGCCTCAGCACCAGGCAGAAATCTGAGAGACAAAGAACTACCCTCATCAAGATAAGGGATGTGGAGGTATGGTTTCAAAAGGCTAAAGACTAATCACTTTGATTCTCTTATTCCAGAAAGGACAGAAAACATAATCAGAGCCAAGATGTAACTCAGACCTATTCTCCATCCACAGAGACACTCCTGATCTCCCAGCCAATGCCACACTGTTTACAGGACTGAAGACACTGATTAGAAAGACAGATAGCTGTGCCTCACACCAGCAGTGAAGCGTTTACAATACAGCCCCTAATCAAGTCCCCTTTTCAATTCAAAAGTATTGTCTTTTTACTTAGTTGCTCTGGTCTGAAAGAGAAGGAATGACTGAGAAACAGTGATTGTGAACATGCTGTTGTGTTACCCAGCACAGTAGGTCTAGCCTACACCACCTTCCAGAACGAGGACAAAAAATGGCTATTAAGTAGCAAGCTTCCTAGACACTGACTATTCCTCAAAAGAAAGTAAAGAAAATTTACAGTAAAAATGCTAAAAGAAGAAAGTAGATTTTTGTTCATACAAAAGATGGGAAAAAACCTCTGCATGAATGGAAGTGAATATATATGGAAAGCAAAAATAGTCAAGATGGCAGTAAGAATTGAAGTCAGTGAAATGGTAAAAGGCAATAGAGACTTCAAGAGGAATGAAAGGAAAAGAAGTTCATGACAGGTTAACTAAATCCTCCTCCACTCCTCCAGCCAAAACAGAGGGCAAGTATCTGAGACTGGGATAAAGATAGGGTAGGTATGTGCAGAGGCAAGAGTGGGGGGAAAAGCTTACTTAGGAATATAATTTTGGTCCTTAAAACAACTAGTAGCATACAGTGAAGAAAAAGTGCAATCAGAGAGCAAAACATCTTGTTCCATCAATACATTAGCTATAAGGTACTGTTTTCCCTATGGAGTTTCTTAAAGATCACGTGGCCCCTTAAATCCCAAATTTGGATTGGTTTATTACAGAGACCAGTCACTAAGACTGGACTGAGGTTTCAACTCTTTCTCATTCTTATGTACGAGGATGAATACAGTCCAAAGCAGGTTTGTTGAGGCAGTGTCTTCCAGCATCCTTTCAACCCTTTGGAAAGCAGTGGTGGATTCCAAAAATCAAGTTGAATGTATTAGGCAACAGAAAAGTAAAGGAAAAACCCCCTCAAATCTTTAAAAAAAAAATCATGCTTTTAAACCTTATTAAAAAAATAATCATAAGCTTTCATTTACAAGGATTTGTGTAAAACTCTCCAGTGACAATAACAGCATTTTAGAAACCTTCCTGACAGGAGCATTTTTGTGGAAAATTAATCAGAGACCAGATCTCAGAACTAACACATGCACTGAGAAAGACAAAAACATCTTGCCAGAGCATATGCTCTGTGTTATAAACTGGACCGTGGCTGAGTAATTGAAAACACATTGTATACTTAACACAAACCCAAGTATAGAGTAATCCATTGAAAAGCTTGGTAGTGAGAAATGAATATTCAGCTGGTTCCAAACATTCCTGTGGAAGCAGTTACCTGTCAGGTTGTACACTCACAAGTTCTGCTGTGTTAACTGAAAATGTTCCAGTCCAAAGTTATTTAGAATTCAGCATTTTCTAACATTTTTACTCAACATCATTTAATGAGATGATACAAGTAAGTTTATAATGTTGTCTTGCCACAACAGCATTTCTCTAAGAACATTTTTGGTATTTCCAATTAATTTTCTTTGAAATTTCTCCTGAATCTGTGCTGAAACACTTCAGATACAGCATTCAGCAATATCATAATCTCTGCCTGCTCATTAAGATTCCCACTTAAACATTTCTTTAAGACTCCATCAGCTTCATAGTTTGGGAAGGACTTTATACATTTTGGCATGGTACTCAAAAAACCCCAAATGAGCTAACATTTAGGTTTGATTTTAACAGATCAAAATTTACTTGAGGATCCTTGAAGATTCAAGTCAACTACTTATGTTAAAAAGATAATCAAGGGTGAGGGACAGGAGGAGGAAGAAAAGTAGGTGCTCTAACAATCAGCTTCTATTTTATACTTAGCTGATAGAAAGAAAAATACCTGTACAACTCATAATATTATAAAAATAAAGTTCTAAGAAATAAATATTACTCTAAGGTCAGTTTTGCTAGCTGGACATAACGGTACTTATAAATATTTTTTAAACCAACCCATCTGGACTCTGGTATCACAGGCACTAATAGTGGATCTGCGCATGCATGCTAACAGATGTGACCTAGATCAGGCCTGGACAAAAATTAGGACGAAAGAATGATGCATATCATTCATATCATCTGCAGTAGAACAAAAGGTGATCTGTGAGACAGGAGGCATTATGAACAGTTGATACCTGCTATGGAACAAAAAGCCCTGCCAGTCATAGATTTCTGGGTGAATTTGTATCAGATCAGTGCTTTTGTGTGACTATTTTTGATCTGATCAAAACCAGTATATTGCAGAACCACAGGCAGGCTTTTGAAACTACAGACTTTCAATAGAGCCTTTGTGTAGAATATTTGCTTACTACTGTACCAGTATCAGGCACGAACTGAACGGAGCAGCTGTTAGTATCCTGCACTTAGAGGTCAGAATAACCTAAAGTTTTAAAGAAAGCCCTGTCTCTAGACCACTGGGAAACATGATCAATTGTGGAGGATGTATTTTCTCACAGAAAGGAGAAACTCCAGTAATTTGGATTATTTGAAAGGCTAAATGAAGAATATAAAGTGATGTGTTTACTTACAGTACACTGTCAGTTTAATTACCGAATTAGTTACTTTTGAATCACTTAGTGACTAATACTACATTCACCCTCTAATGGCACTTTAGTTTGAGTTATCAAAATGCAAGAGTAGACTAGAAAATTGCCCCATGTCAGACCTGGGCATCTGACGAGCTCTTGGCTGACAGCTGTGCAAACTGCTGTATGCATGCCACATAGTGATCCTGCTTGTTGGTTGTGTGGTCCTTTTTCATTATTCAAGCTGGTGGTTCTACCTCTAAACTTTAGAAACTATTTCCTACCTCACAACCACAGTACTGAAAATGTTCTGAAGTGACCACAAGATCTGTAGCTGCTTTACCCACGATTATGTTGGGAAGTCTAATATTTTAAAGGCAGATGCTATATTCTTCTTTTTAACACTGACATCTGGCCATCTGTTTCATTGGCATTTTCTGTCTGTTGAGAAAGTTACTTGGTAGTCAACCAGAGGTGATAATCTGAGTGAAAATCTATGCTTTTTTACTGCCAGGGGAGGACCAGCAGAGACCCACCGTATTTGTACCTCACAGCTGATGTTTCACTCAGGTTTTCTTAAAGGACTCAAAACTGCAACAACCTGAATATTTGAAAGGCAAAATGTACTGGAATCACTGCT